GCCGAGCCCATTTATTTGTTTTTTAAGACAGAGTCTCACTTTCTTGCCCTGGTTTCATAGCTCACAGCAACTTCAAACTCTTGGGCTCAAGCCATCCTCTTCCCTCAGCCTCCCAAGTAGCTGGGACTACAGGTACCCACCACAATGCCGTGGTATTTTTTAGAGATGGGGTCTTGCACTTCCTTAGGCTGGTCTCAAATTCATGAGTCAAGTGATCCACCCATCTTGGCCTCTTCAAGTGTGGAATTACAGGCATGAGCCACTGCACCTGGCCCTCCCATTTATTTTATAGCTGTGTAACCATGGCAAGTTGCTTTACCTCTCTGAGCCATGTTTTACTTTTGATCCATAAATTGAGTCCTTACAGGTATGACACTAGAACAATGCCTGGCATGAAGCAAGGCATTATGAGTGGAAGGTTTAATGATTATCCATTTGGCACTATGCTAAGCACTTTACCTGCATTATCTCATTGAATCCCACAATAAACCTATCATTATTACTATTCCTATTTATTTTACATAGGGCAAAACTGAGGCTCAAAATGAGCTCAATACGATGTCACAAAGACATCACAGCTGGGATCTGAACCTGGGTCTTTGATTATATAGTATGAAGGTCAAAGCAAGCAGTGGCTCTAACCCACATACTATACTGGTTCCTACCTCCTCCTGAGGGCCTACTCTGTGTCAGAACTTTCTAGTTATCATCTCTCCTTCTGGGAGTTATAATTAATGGTGTCTGGCAAATGTTTAACAAATATCTCTCTAGAGGAAAAGTTTACCCCAGTTTGTAGTTTGCCAATGTCTATGATGTAAATATTCCTACCATGGCTGATTTCAGCTACCAGCATGACATCACTGAAAGTGGAGCCAGGAAGAGATACACACAAGAGACTCTTAGGAGCTGTTAGAATCTAGCCTATCACTGGATTATGATGGCAATATAATAGACAAGGAAGCAAGGGATTCGCTAGGTTAGGATACTTGCCTGAGATTGCTTAGCTGATCAAGAGAGAAGGAAAGAGGAAGGTGGGGATGCGTTGGGCCAGGGACAGATGGGACACGAAGCTGGGGGTTAGGAGACAGATGTGTGCATTTTACCTCCTTCTCTGAGGACTCCTCGCCTGGGAGCACAGGAGATGGGGAATCAGGCTCAGTGTGGGTGGGTGGTTTCTGGGGACCACCCAGACCTGCCAGTGTGTCTTCTACCATCCACAGCTGCTGCTGAGCAGATGCTCTGTCCTAAGGGAAGGAAAGGAATTTGTTACTCAAAGGTAGGAAAATGTCCTGTCTGAGCAAGAGTGAGACCCTATCTCTACTAAAAATAGAAAAAAAAAAAAAAAAA